ATGGACATGAAATATTGATTTCCAGTTACTGTATTATGTGACAATAAAGTGGCTGCAAAGTGATATGAGAGACACAAGCTTTGTGGGAAATTATTTTCCTGAGAAAATGGCCAATTATATAGTTTAACTGTCATTATATGAGAAAAATTTTACCTCAGAATGCTGTGATTGACTCATCAGAACCAGAATAAACTTTTATTACAGGCTAAAGCACTTGTCAGGCCTAATGTGTCTGCAAAATGGAGGAAGGCCATCACTCTGCCCTGCATCATACAGTGAGAACTTTAAATGCACACTCAAGGTTTTACCTCTGTTAAACCGGTTTTTCTCATCCTTTCACAAGATATCCAGACTTATTCTTCATTCTTCTTTTCACACTCATACATAGTGTATTTAGGAATGGAGACATCCTCAGTCCTGCCATGCGTCTTATCATTCCCCGCCACATGCAGAAAAATCTAGAGCAGATCCTGAGCCTCATTTCTGAAAAAGCCATGCTTCGCACAGGAGCCGTGCGCAGGTATTCAGTCACACATAGTGATTGTTTTATAATGAACTTATGAAGCATGTCATATTTATATCCTCAGACACTGTTTAAGGTTGTTTTCATTCCATAATCAGTTCACCTTTTACCTCTCAGGCTTTGTACTCTGGAGGGCTTCACAGTGACCTCCACAGAGGAGCTGGAGAGTGGCCAAAGCTATGTAGCTGTGGGAACAGAGAGGTTCAAGAAACTTCCATATGTGGAGATACTGCTGGACAAAGCAACAGGCAACAGTGCAGACAGGTGATGTTGGTAGATAATTGGGATAGACGGTAATGTAATTATTATGCACATACACTATCATTCAAAAGTTTGAGGTCTGTAAGTGTCTTTTAAAAGAAATTATTACTTTTATTCAACAAGAATGCAATAAAATTAAATTGATCAAAAGTGACAGTAAAGACATTTAAAATATTACAAAATAGAAACTATTTTAAATAGAAATTTATTTGGAACTTTCTATTCATTAAAGAAGAATCTGAAAAAGGAATCCTAAAAAAATGTATCCTAATTTCCACGAAAATATTAAGCAGCACAAATGTTTTCATCATTGTTAATAATAAGAAATGTTTCTTGAGCACCAAAACAGTGTACTAGAATATAGAGTAAACGCTGCTGAAAATTCAGATTTGCCATCACAGGAATAAATAAAATTGTATAATATATTCAAATAGAAAAGAGTTGTTTTGAATTGTGATAATATTTTGCAATATTACTGTTTTACTATGTAGCAAATAAATGCAGCTTTGGTGAGCATTAAAGACTTTTCTTTCAGAAATATAAAAAAACCTTACAGACCCCAAACGTTTGAATGGTAGTGTAAGTATAAATAAAACCATGTTAAACAGGATCTGTCTGTCTTCACTGTAGACATTATGCAGGAGACAGAGGATTACAGAGAAGAATTGAGGTACTATTTACAATTAATATACAGTGGAGTTGAAAATTATTTATTTTCGTAACTAAAAACATGACAAATCATTCAAACGTAGTAAATTTATTTGAGTGAAAAGGTTTACAAAAATGTGTTTTTTTCTTTAAATCCAACATTTTATTTTCAGGTCTAAATTAAATTTTTACTCCCAGAATTTTTAATGAGGTCTCAGACTTATGGACTCCACTGCATAGTTATTTTTAATATGTCAAGACAAATACATTTCAATGAGACATTTGTTCTATTGAAGTTCCTTATTATTCTCTCATGATGATCCAACTCAGAGTAGAAAGATGTTTCCCCAGGACAGCCACAGTGACTCCACCCTAATGAATTCACATGAGGTAAAAGTTAGAGTCCATTGCTTTTCCATCATTGTTCAACTAAATACAAAAAGCTTTCAGATCATTGACCCACTTTATTGAACTTGTCACAATCATCCTGTAAGCATCTTGTGTAAATGGTGTCTGCTTTAGAGGGAAGGCAGGCGTGTGAAGTCCACAGGAGATGAGATGGAGCGAGAGAGCTTCCCTCAGCAGGTTAAGAGAAGAGGAAGGAGAGGAGAAAGAGAGGAAAACTCTGTTTTCTACGCCAGACCTGTGAGAGTCCGCAGACACCCTCCCACAAACAGACCCCCTCCTAGAGCCGCAACAGGTGAATGCTGAATAAATAAATAAATAGTACGCCATACTGTATCTAAAATGTAACTTATTATTAAAATGTTGCAGTCTTTCTTGTGTGATATTGTTTAATTGTGTTAGATGAGCCCAGTGTGTTTAAGGCTTCTAAGAGCAGGATGAGGGAGGAGGTTCGAGGTGCTGAGGAGGTCGCAGAGGATGAAAACACAGCTGTAGAGCTTCCCATTGATCAGGTACACCTCTACACTCTAAAAAATGCTGGGTTAAATACAACCCAGTGCTG